CCAAGCTCAGAGAACCCCAAGGACTCCAAAGATGAAGAGAGCCTACTGCCCTTTCTGTTCCAAGCAACAATTCTTACGTATTATAGGAGTGGATGTAGATCCAATGCATGACAGCTTGCGGCAAAGAGAACACATGGATTATTGTTCTATGTAAGATGTCACTGGTTTCAGCAAAAAACTGATCAAATCCCCAGCATTCTACTTGATTTGCTTCTAAGATGTTTGCAAGAATTGGGACAAGCTGACGCTTCAAACCACTGCAGAGAAGAAAACACAGATGTTATTTTGATACATGATTACTGGCTAGAATTACTACAATACATCATGCCTCCTTATGTTTTTAACAAAATGTCCCAATTACTCAAGGCACAAATTATATGCATATGAATGTGTATACCTGAATACATAACTGGATGGAAAAAAAACAAGTGAAGATTACATATGTAAACTAACCTTGAAAATGTGCAGTGCAAACTTACCCATTTCTACTTAGAAGGAAACCCTTCTATGTTCATAAGGATTTGCTCTGTGATCATTATACTTAGGTCTCAGCCTAAAGAACTCAAAGGTTATGGAGAAACTGTACTACAGAGTAATTTTAACACCTGTAGTCATTTGCCCATCCATTTCCTTACTACTCACACAGAAAGGCGGCATGCAACTGGAAGTTCATAGGACCACACAATGGCCCCGTTCTCTTGGTCTTGGATTCCAGCTATGGCTCCAGAAGGTTTCTCAGTTGTGATTTTATACCTGGGCAGTGAAGAAACATCCCATCTTTAGGAGGCGGCAAAGAAAAATACTAGGATCCCCATGCTGCAACACATTTAAGCCCAGCTTGTGTTTGTTTCTTTCTCTCTCAGGAAACAGAAGATTGAGGAATATAGAAGACATGAAATACAAGAGAACTCCATTGCTGGGAGATGGGAGATGAACTGGCTATAAGCTAAGCAGGTCACTATTTCCCAGCAGGAAACTGTGATCTTTGTCAGAATTGCCGGATGGGAGAGAAGCTTTATTCTATTTCCCCCTTGCTGCCATACACAAACACTCCTTGCAGGCAAGACCACCCTTTCCCTTATCCTATTAGCAGTGAGGAAACTAATCTGATAAAAGATCTCCCCATCCCATGACTATATGCATGGATGAGAGGAGACACACTAGAGGTGACCCTGTCCCCTCAAAAGGTTTGTGGAAAGAGGAACGCAACAGGTTTATCAATGAAACTGATAGGGAAGTCTGCAGGATATGGTGAAAAAAAAAAGGTCAAGATGGCAGCCATGATGGTGAGATTGAAGCTCTGCCCACTTTTATGTGTGCCGTGGGGTTTCAACTGCACCCTTACAGGGACCATACCCTATAGACATCCCTGGGTACAGACCACAGGCAAGAGTGAAGGTTTCTTCCCTTTGTTACAAAGCGGGTTTTATTGTACAAAACTAACTCTCGCTTAAACAAAATTTATCATGGCTATTTATTTCTAACCCATATCACTATACCTGTAACAATGTAACCTATGTGCTTTTTTCTGTATGTGCTGTGTCTACTTCTAAAGATTCTTATCTAGAATTATTATGACTTTTCATAAAGTTCTTTTTCTTCTTCTGTTTTATAGGCAGGCTTCAATTGCCTACTCTTGTGCAAAGTAACAGGCTTAGTTAACCCTATCCTTGGTGACTCTCTAAGCTGTGAGTCATGGAGAAAACTCCTCAGCTGGAGTTATAGTCAAGTCTTAGCCACCTTAGGTTTGGCTGGGTTTGTTCCTGGCTGATGTTCTAGTGACTTCAGCCAAGAACTGATTGCTGCCATCCTGAACTGCTGCAGGCACTTTAGCATCTCACTGCCTTTGGCTGGGAGGAGAGAGATTTGTTATCATTGCTGTTGGTTAACAACGGCTGTTGGTTGTCTGCCACTCTCCTTTCATCCGTTAGTATTTTTGAATTCTGCACCCACTTTTCCCACGCTGCACCAAGCCAACTTTGTCCCACTGTTTCTTCCTCTCTCACCAACAACCTTCCGCTTTCCCACACAGCTGTGATCTCCCCACTCACACAGATAGCTACCCCTAGGTGCGGAAGATGCCCTCTCTTCTAGTTGGAGCACAGCCACTCCCACCACCTTAAAGTCCCATAGGGAGACAGGGAGAGAAAAAGGGAAGGAAGGGCTCACACTAATGTTCTCCAAGCTCTCCTTCCAAAGGGAATAATATAACCCTCCATGCACAATACTGCTTTACTCTTGAGACAAAGCCATTTCTCAAAAATGCAACTCAATATACATACATGATTTCCTTGTTCTTGCGAGGTCCCCCAAAAGGGATAAATGGGAGATGACCTGTGGCTGCATGATAAAAAGTTACCCCAATACTCCACAAATCTACAGTCACCCCGTAAGACTTTAGTTGGGGCTTCTTCAACACTGCTCGCTTATACATATCTGGGTGCTGCAAGTAAAAAAATAAAAATATTTTGCTTTTTAGCTTAAGCACTAGGATTAATTAATTATCTGGTTTAAAACTACAAAATTATGGAATAAAACATGCTAAAATAGCATTCAGTTGATCAATTACATTAACTGCTTAATCAGCTATAAAGGAGATTCCTGTTATTTCCCTAGTAATTTATTAAAAACTCTGGAAAATATAGTTTGAAGAGGCGTTCTCCACAGTCCTGCATACAGGAGGGATGCTTCCTGTAGGATCCGGATGGGAAGCTAGATTTTATTGAACTCCAACCCCAATAATTCTCAGCAGACATGACATGAGTGAGAAGCTGTTATTCAGCAACTTCTAAAAGGAATTGCTGTTGTCATGACATATATGCATAATCTGAACACATGAAAAATGTAATGCAGCAACAACCGGAGAACAACATCACTTTGGAAATGTATCTCTATGTTCATTTGTGTCCATTTCATGAATAACATAATTCATTAAATCTGATAGATACTTCTTTACTTGGGTCACGATTCCACCTGAAAAATAAAGCACTATGAGCTAGAAGTAGGCTGCTATTATTTTTAAACCGTTTCCTGAAAGTAGCCCAAACAAAAAACATGAAGTAGTCTGACTGGTTTATGGAAGAGAAGACAAATGTAGATGAGTCTTATGTAGCAGCTCTGTCCATAATATTTAATATAGTCTCAGATATAGTCAGATGGATATAGCCATCTCTGAAGAGTCCGTGAGTTTTGTGGATATACATCATAAAATTGTTTACGGAAAGAGCAGAGGGAGAAAGATACTGCAAAAATCAGCTTGATTCCCCAACAAGGTACAACTACTGTCCTTGCAGAACAGCTTAAAATAGCCAAGATGTGAGCTAGAGGGAATTTTAGAAGGAAGTTGCCAATCTAGTCTTCCATGTGATATTACTTTTGATTGCATTCTCAATGTAATTACAAAACCTGTCTTAAACTATTTGAACTGTATTTACCCAGCAGTTTCCCCCCCAAACATTACATGTGAATTGAAGGGGTTACATTCTCTGAAAATAATAGAAGAAACTATTGAAAACCAAAGAAAGGTTGAGGGTTGCAAATAACTGTAGGCATAGCTGCTGGAAAGTTAAATGTCCTTGAAGTACTTAAGAGAGACTGAATTTATCATTTTGTAATATCTAAATGGTGTTTCTCTTTACTTTCTTTCCTTCCTTGTCCAATTATATCTTCTTCTTTCCTCATTGCCACTCCATATTCTTCCATCCCTACTCAGTGCAGCTATCTCTTCCCTTCACCCCTTCATGTCCCTCTTTCCTTCCTGTTTCTCCTAAAAGGAGGGAAGGGAATGTGTATGTGTACCCTTGTTATCTTCTGTAGGTGAAAATGGTTTGTGAATGATAGTGTGAATGGTGAGTCTATACAGATGGGGGCACAATTAATTTTATAACTGGAGTACCTTCTTTTACAGTTTATTAATGTTAATAGGTACTTCTGAAATTTACATTTTTGTTCTGGTTTTGTCTCTTTTGGCTTCTGAGAGAAATACATAAACAAATATGTGGGTGACCCATAGACACATTTATGGAGAAGGAAGACATGTCCAAGACTGATTTCAGTAGAGAGAAGCAGCCAAGGTTTTTAAGATGGGAGAGGGGTATTTCATAGATTTTAGGGTTGTGTTTATAATTTTTTTCTGTCTACTCTTCCTTCATCATTTTAAATTCAGGGTCATTCTCCTTTTGAGTATATGTGATATTATTTTCTAGATTATAATTACTGCTGTGTCTTTTTTATTTCATAACATCTTTTCTGGATAAAGACTATTAGTAAACTAAATTATTTTTTGTTAAAATAATAAATCTGCGGTCTTCAGGCTTTACCCATTAGATTACAAAGTTGCAAATTCAAATTCCAATTAGATCTCTTATTAAGCATACCGCTTCTCAACCTGGTAGTACATAATCATAATAAAAAGTAATGTTTGTATTATTCACAATGAATTTATCAAACTCTCATTATCAGATCCATTTTCAATCTCACAGCAGTGCATTCTATAGGTTAACTAGGTGCTTGGGAAAAATTACTTCTGCCTCCCACTAGTCAACTGTATTAGATGACTGCCAGAACAGTTCTAATAGAACAGATGATTACTTCCATTCAATTTCTATTTCTATGGGGGAGAAAAACCTATTAGGCTCACTCTGGAAATCAATTAAGCTCTTTTCTGTGATGATTGCATTTCTTTACTATAAGCAGAAAAATAAGGCAGCTTTGAGTTACATCTGCAGTTGTATTTTTTCCCCAGAATTACAAAAACACTTTACAAAAACAGTCTTTATTAGTTAAAAAGTCCTGCATTCTGCTTTACTCACAAGATATTCTTCTGTCCCATAAACTGATTCAAATTTTTCATCATCATCCAGTTCTCGGGCAGCTCCAAAATCTGTCAATTTGTATATACTCTGTCCATTTTCTCCTGTTTGCCTCATGATGTTTCCTGGTTTGATATCTCTGTGGACCACTCCATTTTCACGCAGATGATTCACACCAGCTACTAGAAAGGGAAAGGTTTAAATTATGCTTTTGTTTAAAAGGAGTGAAAGGGTTTTGAATTTTGTAGATGAAGCAACAAGATCATCTGACCAGCTTTTTCACTATAGAAAGTAACATCAAATAACCTGGATTCAAACTGTTTCTCAAAACCACAATCTCAGCCATATGAGGAGTAGCCAAAATGTAGCATTAATGGAATGTTTCCTCCTGTTGCAAATATGTAGAACACAATGTCTGTGAATATCTTCCCCTCCCCCCCGTAATGTTTTGATCCAGTTCAGACAATCCTTGGCTAGCTACATTCTTCTTCCTCCTCCTCCTCCTCCTCCTCCACCTCCTCCTCCTAAAAAGCAAATCTAAACTAAAAATGTCACACTGAACTTGAATTGTTTACATCAAAATATGTAAACAAAACATATACACAGATACAGATAGTCCTCGACTTACAACCACAATTGGAACAGGAACTTGTTGCTAAACAGTGCAGTTAACTGAGTCACACCCAATTTTGTGACCTTCTTTGCCGCAGTCATTAAACAAATCATATGGTCATTAAGCAAATCCGGCTTTCCGCATAGACTTTGCTTGATGGAAGCCCCCTGGGAAGGTTGCAAATGGCAATCACATCACCCTGGGATGCTGCAACTGTCATAAATTCATGTCGGTTGCCAAGCATCAAAATTTTGATCACATGACCACGGGGCAGTCGTAAGTGTGAGAACCGGTCATAATTCACTTTTTTCAGCACTGTCGTAACTTTGAACAGTTGTTAAACAAATGGCTGTAAGTCAAGGACTACCTGTATGGTAAATGTGTGGTTCCAGATATTAAAGTTTTTAATATTAAAGTCCAGAGATTTTAAGTTTTCTCAAAACTGGAGCTCAGACTCTTTACAAAATGAGTATCATGAATTTTTCAACTCAGCAAGACCTGAGGGAACCTCAAATCAAACAAAGGAATCCATTGGTCTTTCAATAACGTGTCTTATATTGTCCTCAGTTTCAAATGTTTGGACAGAAGTTTAAAGGGCATTACTCATGCATGAAAAGTAGGTATCAGCAGGCCTGAGGTTCCCCAGAGAAAGAAGAAAAGAAGAAAGGAAGAAACCTAAGGCCCTGGAACAGCTACCTCTCATAAGAGACATGATGTTCAGAAGTTGTTCTCAACTATGCAGATGAGCCCATTACGGGGGGAAAGCAGCAGGATAACTCAAAATCTGCACAGTGGGCATTTTGCAAAGGATCAGGTCAGTTAGCACTTTTGGACTGTGCTAGGGACACCAAAACTCCTAGTCCCATTGCCATGAACATCTCTGATACTTACCCACGCAGCATAACACTATGAGGAATTCTGCTTCTGATAACCCAAAGGCATTTTCTGGTTCTTCCAAAAGGCTCAGCAAGCTCCCTCCTGAGCAGTACTCCATTACCAGCACCTTCTGTTTATTGCTCTCCTATATTTGAATTTGAGAGTGGAGCTTTAAAGTCCATTATTATGAGTTCAATTGTTCACTTTATCCTTATTTGCATTTTCTGTTCCTTTACTGGCTATGAATCCACAGCTAGGGGGTTCTTATGGGAAACCATGAAGCACCTTGAGTGACTTTGAATTAGTCATTATTTCTCAGGCCAACTTCCTCATTGGACTGTTGGTGTGTGGGTGGAATTGGCAGTGGGAGCTTTTTAGATTATCAATGGAACCAGTGATGATAATAGAGCTCTTCTGGGACTGGACCTCTTTTTCCCAAAGGCAGGTGGAAAAATATATGATTGAACCTTTTTTACAGACTAGCTTTCCATAATCTGTAATAGTATATGTTTAAATCATGATTTTTGCTCCTAAATGCACATGTACATTTTAGTGGGATTTAGCTCCATTACACTTTACTGCTATTATACCATTACTGTGATATCAATCGCTCCACCCCCATTTTAAAGAATAAGACCAACCTACCATTTCTTCTACAGCAAAGAGTTTGACAATGTTCTGGTGGTTTAACTTCCTTAGCACCTCAAACTCTCTTATTTGTACTTCCTGAGGTCTCAGGTAACTGACATTATTGAAGACCTTGACAGCAACCAGTTCTCCTGATTTCTGGTATGGGAATGGAGGAAACAGACATAAACAAAGGTTCAAGAGCTGTTTTATATTTTGCAAGACACCACAGAGTACAAGCCTGAAGGAAGAGACTGGCGTCTCCAAACAAGCAGTGGACAATTCATACCTACTTCTTTATTTTTATTGTTTCTTGCTTTTAAAGTGTGAGCCGCCCAGAGTCATTTGGAGCTGGGTGGCCTCTAAATCACATAAATAAATAAAATAGATAAATAAATAAATCTTAATTTGTTTTTCCTTTCAATGTATATCTGGCCTTCCTGAACATAGCTGCCACCGACAGGAATACATGCATGCATGCATGCATGCATATATATATACACACACACACACACACACATACACACACACACACCCCCTTCATGCTATTTTTTTTTTTAGGATAACCAATATTATGCAAAGCACCAAATGGGAATAAGAAATAGTAAGCCAAGAAACTAAAGGCATAAGATCAGAAATTATAAGACATAGTTAAATAGTAGCATTTATTCTACAGTATTCTACCTTTGCAAACCATCCTTAACTTTCATACACCAGTTCAGGCAGTATATGGTATTTTGTTCCTTAAATTTCTTACCTCTTTGTTTTTGAGGGTCTATCTTATTAACTCCATCCAACCATTATTTTACCAGTCTTCCCTTTCTCAGTCCATTCAATATTCCTTCATATATTTATTGTACAATTCAACCCACCTTCATTCTCTCTATATGAACAAATCACCTTAACATACTTCATTCATACTAGTCACTTACTTTTGTATTCAGTCCACATTCATTCAGCATCCATTCATTCTTGACCCCATCTCTTCTTATATTACCACACAGACTTAAGTAGCCTGTTCCCATGGCATTCAATTTAGTATCATGTTTTTCCTGACATACCCAGTTCCGCCTTCCATGTAACACACAAGGTCATTTCAGTATCTTTTGACAAACGTTCCTTCCTCACAACAGAACACATACTACCCACTACCTTTCAATGAGCATCTCCATGTCTTAAAATTTCTCCATCCATTTTCCCATCTTAACATAAAATGTTAACAGGCTACACAAATTCTACTACTTTGCTCTAGTTTTTCACCACTGATGTATAATTTGTAATCATTCTTTCCATTTTCCTTATCAAAGGCAACTGTGTTGGCCACATCAGCAGATCCATTCTACCCGCTGTATCATACAATCTAACATTTACTGCAAATCATTTGGGTTCTCAGCCAACTTCATGCACTGTATAGGTACATGAATCTTCACATATACAACCAACACACCTGTACCATCACTACAAACATTCCTTGTACGATTATCCATAAATGCATTTTACAACCAAGGAGACATCGCGTATGACTAACTCCCTGATCAGTGCTGAACCACTTGCTTAGCAATCCACTTATTCTAACACAAATAAGAATAAGCTTTATTTCCATCATATACCATTGTTACCTTATTCAGCAATCACCCTTCACACAAAACATTCTGTACAGTAAGTCAGACCTATTCACTTTATCACATGCCTCATTTACAGCAGCTCTGTAAAAATCTACTTTAGTATTTAAGTTTAATTTAATTCAATTTTTAAATCTACCCAATTTAAAATGACTCTGGGTAGTGAACAATATTAAAAATAAATCTAAAAGAAGTTGGCATTCCCCAAACTACATCCATCAGATCTGTGGATCTCCCAAGCTGGCTGAGGTATTATGGGAGATGAAATCTGAAAGTAATTAGTTGGGATGTATGATTTAAATCACTTATTGCAAAAATGTATTTATGTTCCTGTAGCAATGTATTACATTTCAGGTCTAAGTCTTGTTTTATAATTAGTCTCCATGTAATATTTTGTGAAAATAAAGCAACCAACAAAATGAGTGCAATGATCAACCCCTAGAACATCCCAGTTAACACATGCCAGATCACCTTGTTGCGAGCTTTGTATACGCTGGCAGTGGCACCTTGACCCAGAACATCTTCTGTTTTCCAAAAATAGTTCAGCGTACTTTGCATGGCGAAAAAAATTGTGGTCGGCTTTTTAACTGCAATAGGAATAGAAGGAGATTTCAAATGTCAGTAGCAAGTACAAGTCAAGCTCGGTCAGGTATAATAACAATAATGATAATAATCCCCTAATGAGGCACTACCTTGACGTGGTTGTGGGGCTTGTATGCTCCAAGGAGGATGAGAACTATGCCAGAGGTTCGACCATACCATAAGGTCTCATCAGAGGAGCCAGACAAAGAATGTATCTCCCATAAACAATATGGTGAGATGTAATTTACAGAAACCTATACCATATCAGTTGTTGCCCAGGTCAACAAGGACTGTGCTAAGTGTTCTAGTTCCGGGACATCTGGTGACAAGTGGGCTACAGGACTCAGGACTGTTGGCTGAGCAGCCAGGGCCAGCAGCTGCAGGACTACTAGAAGAAAAGTTCCTTACCCATCACAAGTATACAAAG